GGTTACCATTTTACTAGCTACATGACATTTCTAATGTACATAGAAAATTTTACAATAAGCGGTCCATTAGTTTCGGAAATTATCCACCTAATAAAAATCGTCACCGACAGAAAGATCGACGGACGGACAAACAGACGCAAACGGGAGACCCATTTTGTCCTAATCTAGGGGTCATGAAACGTCGAGAAAATGTGAAAGCAGCCAGCCGCCCGATGGACTCGATTCCTATACTTCCTTAGCTTACGGTCAGAAAGTAAAAACCGATCTCGGATATAAGGATTTTTTTGGTCAAAAATGTTCAAAATGTTTGTATTTTTAGGGAAAATATAGTCGTATTGAAAAATTCGCTACTCCACTATTTTTTAAATTGGAAATCTGGGATTCTCCACAAAAATTCTTATTTTCATTGCTTTATCACACAAAAAACCAATCGCACAATTACCCTTCTATATTTCTACAAAAGGTAATTAAATTAACAAGTTACCCTTTTTGCTCATGTTTTTCAAATTTTATTTTATAATATAACATTTTTCGAACTTGTTTCTCAATAAACTTACCTTTTTCGGGGGCGAGGGGCAAACAGATAAATTTTTATTAACGATGTACCATGTTTCAGATCCGTTTAAAACATTCGCAAGATTCCAGAGCATTCGGTTTTGCAATTTAAAAGTTGATTTGTAAAATTTTAAAATATATATGTATGTTTAAAAAAATTGTTTTTTTTTTCAAAAATCTAAATGTCTACAGTAGAAATTTAACATGGATTTATAAACCACAAGTACAGGAGTAAGTTATTTCAAAAATTTAAATAAGATTTATTCCACAAAATTTTGTACTGACCTCATTAATTTTCTAGGAGGGAATAAACAATTAAGTTTTGATTAACGATTTACCACGCTTACGATAACTTTAAGGCGTTTACAAAATTTCAGAGCATTCGGTTTTGTAGTTTCAAACCTAATTTCCAAAATGTCATTATACAATTTTGATTTTTTTCAGAAAATTTGAATGTCTAAGGTAAAAACTCAATACGGATTCATAAACTACAAGTGGAGTTGTATGTCATTTTGTAAAATTTGAATAACATTGTAAATTTTGAAGATAAGATGATTAGACACATTTTGGTTAGTAGTTTACCATCTACACGATATTCCTAACACATATTCAGTCTAGTTGCAAAATCTATATTTTCTTACACAAACTTAAAAATTTTAAACATATTTTAAGTTTCATGTTATGAAAAGAAGTATACACATATTAATAATAACAAATCAAAATATAAGCCCGCCCACCCGCCCTATCTCAATTGTGGTGAATGTTATCTGCAAAATACTCATTTCCTTACAAAAAATTAAAAACATGTTTTTGAGTATCGTGTTGTTAAAGCAATACTGCGTATATTAAGAAAAAAAGCCAAATATAAAACCCGGCCACCCACCCCATCTCAATTGTGATATTTTTTTTATTCTTAGAAACTTAAAACACGTTTAAAAAAGTAAATATTTGTAAGGAAATATGAATTTTGCAATTAGGCTCCGCCCCTAGGTCTGCCAACGAATGAGAACTGAATTACTATTTAGATCAGGGCAGATATGGGTGGGGCGTAATCTTTGGCTTCATTTTTTTCTTAATATACATACTCGTAGTATTCTTTGAACAAACAACACGATACCCAAAAACATGTTTTTAATTTCTCTTAGAGAAATAAGGATTTTGCAGTTAACCTCTGCTCCCTTGGCCCACGACGAATAAAAAAGAAATCATCACAATTGAGATCGGGTGGGTGGGTGGGGCTTATATTTTGCCTTTTTTTTTAATATACATAGCCATTTTTTTGACCACAAGAAACTTAGAACATTGTTAAAATGGTACATGCTTTCAAGGAAATATGGATTTTGCATTTGTGGGGGGGGGGGGAGTCTAATTGCAAAATCGATATTTCCTTATACAAATTTAAAATTTTAAACATATTTTGAATTTTATGTTGCGAAAAGAAGTCTACACGAATTAAAACAAAAAGAGGTTATCCATCTAATAAAAATCTGAACAGACAGATAAACAGACAGGCAGACATACGACAGTCAGATGTCGTAATATCGGGGTCATAAAACGTTGAGAAAACGTGAAAGTAGCCAGTCGCCTGATGGATTCGTTCCTTAGCTTAAGCTCAGGAAGTAAAAACGATACCAGATGTAAGGATTTTTTGTCAAAAATGTTGAAAATGATTGCATTTTTTGGGATAAGATACTTATATTTGAAAATTCGCTGCTCCATTATTTTTAAAGCTGGATATCCGGGATTTTGAACAAAACAGGGTGATTAAATTTGCAAAAGAACATTTGGGTTAAAAGTTAATTTGTAACATTGTAAAATCTTTTTATAAAATTAAGAATTTTTTCCAAAAATCTTATTAAAAATTTCAGTTCAATTTATTTGACAAAATTTTGTGATGACATAATTATTTTTTGAAAGGAGATCAACGGTTAAATTTTTAATAACGATTTACCATGCTTACGAGAACCTTAATATTTTTACAAGATTTCAGAGCATTCGCTTTTACAGTTTCAAAATTAAGTTGCAAATGTCGTTATACAATTTGAATTTTTTTTTCCAAAAATTTTATTGTGTAGGGTAAACACTCAACACAGATTCATAAACTACATGTGGAGGTGTATGTTTTTTTTATAAAATGTAAATAACATTTAAATTATGGAGATGACGACATCCCATCGTTTTTGGTTATTGTTGTTATTAAATAATACGCCGCCCCAGCACGACGCCTATGGGTTTATCGAGGCTTTTCTAGTATGTGAGGCAATCATGGGTGACTCATCATCGGTGACGGCGCATGAAGAAGAACCTGAAGCGAGTTAACGAAAGTCTCGATTGTGGCGTCCAAAAAAAAACTCGAAGCGGCGTTCGCGATCCATCCAGAGGAATGTAGGCCTTTAAATAGAGGCCATCTTCGGGAACGGATTCATTCAGTCGAATCGAGTTATGTTGTACATAATCGCTGTGTAATTAGTCGTGTAAACTCGAGTTGCTAAGAAATAAATTGTTGAGTTTTACCAGCGCCGATTTTAATCACCGATCATCGTAACGTTATTATTATTCGTCGAATGGACCCGCTTACAATACTTGCTTAGCTTACGCTTGGGAAGTAAAAATGATCTTTTTCTTTGAATAACAGCATAGATATTTATGTCTAATATAATTTTTAGTAAGAAATCTAATTCGGTAAAAATAACGGGCGATCAAAAAGTTTTCCTAGTTTGGGGTAGGCTGCGGAAATATTTTTCATTTCTTTTATTAATCCGGTAAATCTTACAAATATCAATGTTAACAAATGTTGATATCAAAATGGAAAGCCACAGTTCAAAGGATTTAATAACGAGCGAATTTAAAATGAATTTTTTGCATCCTTCGCAATTTTCACCTCTTTACTCTATACAATACATGAGTGGGAAAATAAACATACCTATTCGTATTTGAAATTTAATTTGAGAAGTTTGAATTTTGACGCGTAAGGTTTAATCAAAGAAATGAAAAATATTTCCATAGCCTACTCTAACCTGAAAACTTTTCAATAACCCGTTATATACAAAAAATGCAGCATTGTTCTGTAAGTTTGAAACGAAACATCTAATGTATTTTGAAAATAGTTTGTATTGTACCCTCAATCAATTTTATCAGTGTTTAAATTTTTTTTCAGTAATTTCTGATAATGCGCAGCCTGCCGTTAACAGCCCATTCGAATCTAATATATATAAAATAAAGACAGGTATTGCTCTGATTTTTCATTTCTTCTTTTCGGCTTTGAGGAGCTGTCATTATTGTGTAAATAGTAAGGTGCTTTATTTTTGGAATAGAAAAAGTCTTTGATAACAATTTTACGAAATTTTGATGTTATAATGTGTTTAACGTGTTGTAACTGTTATAATGTTTACATTTTTGAAGAAAAAATTTCCTTAGGCGCATTTTGAAGAAAAAATGGGTCTGATCCGTCAGGCTTCGAGATGAAACGCTCATTCGAGTAAACTCGGGTTAGAGCCGAGTGAACCAGGGGAATTTTTGGTCATTTATACAACAGCAGGTTCTACACTGCTCAATGGAGACTTACATCAATCATTTTGAGTAGAGTTTTCAAAGTCGCTTTCTAAAAAAAAAAAAATAAGTCAAAGCCTTTAAATGTTTTTTAAAACCACATTGAATTTAAATATGTTGCATGACCCAAGTCAGAGTATTACAAAATATGGAACTATAATCGACTGAGTTTTTTTTATAGAAATTGAGAAATATTTAATATTGAAATGTAGATGTAAGAAACATTTTGGATCATACTGTATGGTATTTCAAAAACAGAGAATATAAAATGCATTTATAACAGGCAAAGCAACTTTATATGTTTAATGTTGATGTTATTTTCTAAGCTTAGACGCTCACTTTATAGGCACATGAAGTGCACGTAATCACTCCATCTGTTCGGTAAACGAACTATAACTTAATTCAATAGTATGTAAAAGTAGAGAGTATGTGTATAGTAAAAACAGTTTTTGGAATTTAATAGAGTCTAAATATTTTCCTCAATAAATTAGTTGTGTTCTTCGTAAAATATGTGCAATGTGGAACATCATGTGACTGATTTGCTCATGTAATAAAAAAATTAGAATTTCTATTAACAACAAGTACAGACGACACAAAACCTAAAACGAAACGAAGAATGTCGTAAATTTTGTACTTCATATTTAATGAATACACTATAGATGCACCTAGGAGAACTACCCCCGAAAATATTGGAGCCGCAGTGTCGCATCGAGCACGAAAGGTCGAGCACTAACGTTCGTATCCCGACGGGGGGTTATCTCAGCCGTATTCGAGCCATAAATCTGCTACCAATAACTTGTTTACCCTTCTTCCACCCCATAACGAGCTCATTATCATCAACAAGATTTTACGAAGCCGGCATAAACACAAAATCGACATACGGAACTTCGACTTACCTGATGACGTTCAAAGAAGTGCACCTCGATACAGAGCTTTGCAGAGGCGTGTCCAGGGACACCGGAGTGATGCACCCTTGTCCCTGTTCGCTCGGACTTTCCTCTTCTGTGTCGCTGTCTTCCCTCCCCGAGTGCCACCACGCCACGCACCACGATCGCACCCTCCACAGCCCCGCCAGCCATCCACCTTTTCTCTACACAGACAAAAAAAATCTTAGCATTGACACACACGCCGGCGTTATTTAAAGCGATTTCTATTCGAGACCTTATCAGACGGTTAAAACGTTGTTCACACGCAAACAGCTCAGACGACGAACTAAAATGATTTATTCAATTTCCTATCGGATTTAGCGAGCAGAAACGGCGATACTTCTGCATCGGAGATGTCGTATATATGGGGAATTTTATTCAATTAGAGAAGCGCTCTGGCGTGCTGTTGTGTTAATTCTTCAATTAACAGCCAAACAGTGGTTGGAATAAAATAACGCGTAAGTTGGGGTTTAATAAATGTAACAGCACGAATGATAGCCGGCGTAAGCACTCCGGAATGACAGCTTCCGGTTGATATAGCCTCTATACACATTTACAGATAATGTTATTTACAATTAGACCTCGGCTCAATTGTGAAACCAGGTATGGCAGTGGCTATTGTACCGCGCCTAATGGAATTAGGAGAATCTATTTTAATCATTGATTTTGGGACGAACGACGTAAACAAACGGATGCCCGATTTTTAGGTTCAAGCAGGAAGCTAATTTGAAAGGTGAACGTCGCATAATTTCCTATGATACTAAAAAAAAAAAACAGTCATTGACACCTAACTTCCCACGTCTCTGAAGCACAGCCAGTTCCGCAAACACCGCAAAGCATGCAATGACGTCATACTCTTTGGTGGGGATAAATATATTAATTCAGGTATAAAATATGCAACACTAAATAACGTTACTATGTTGTGAAAATTTTAAGGCAATTAAGTGCATATTTCTGGCATGATAATTTATTTAATATTGTTATAATTTATAATTATATAATAAAACCGCAGCGCTAAAAGACAACTAAAGCAAGTAAGATTATCTAATACATCTGTTCAAATAAGCTAAGACAAAAATCTGTATCCCACGATTTTATCCCAGTTGGAATTCCGTGTGAAGTGTAAATGTGCTGTCTGGCTCAGTTCCAGTTTTTATTTCATTTTGATAGCAAAGTCTTCTTGATTGTGATTATTTTGCGCTCGTATAATATACCCTTAGTTTTCAAAGAAATGCTATAAATATTTTTTTCTTTTTATTTTATATGTTTCAATTGAAGGTACCTCAGTATTTTAAAAAGCAAAATAGACAAAAAATAAAGGAAATGGGAAATTAATATACTACTTCGTTGAAATTATTTTAAACTTTTCAATGGGTTCATTGTTGTCTCAAGTAATATGCCCATAAAAGATATATCACCTGAGTGCCTTAATTTTTTCACAGCGAAAATTGCCTTTTTTGGTTTGTTCGTTCTAGTTGTGTCGTAAATCGGGAATAAAATCGATTCTCAAAAAAAGTTGTTTCTTTAGTAAACAATTAAACCAAACAAGTGAAATTAAAGTTATTTTAGTAAGATGATCCGAATTATATAGGGTGATCAAAAAAGCGCACTAACTCAAGACACATTATTAACTTCTAAGTCCAAGTTCAAGAAAAATCTTTTTTTTTTAATTTTTTATACAACAATTTGACTTTCACTTACAAAAACTTTATATTGATTTAGACAGACACAGGATGATCAAAAATTAAGTATCAGCTCGATGAAGAACTCGAAAAAGATTCTAATTCGAATATGTTTCACTGCGAATTGAATTGATAATGTAAAATTACATCTAACAACGGTAAAAAATATATTTTTTTAAACGTAGTCAAGCAAATTACTGTTAACTAGCTATTATTATTATTAAAAATATTTAACTGTTTATTAAGATACATTAATTAAGCTAACTTCAACTTCAACTAATGTTTTCCACCTGTAAACAGGTGGCCCAAAAAAATTTTAAAAATATGAATACAATTAGTATACACAAGTATCATTTATTCGGGAAAATTTTGAGATGACGTCATCAGTAGTTTGGGAGTAATAAACAGATAAATTTTGATTAACAATTTACCATTCTTACAATAACTTTAAAACGTCTGCAAAATTTCAAAGTATTCAGTTTTGCAATTCTTGATTTATTCAATAAAATAAATGATTCATAAATTTTTTTGAGTTACCCTGTATAAGCAAATCAAAAAAATGAGGTTCTTGATTTGATCAATAAAAAATTTGTCGGAGGTTATAGTACGATCCGACAAATCTGGCTCTTAAAAAAATTATAAAATTTGATTTTGTGATAAACGCTGTACAGTAAAAACGAAACGCATAAATGACACCCCTTTTCCCTCAGCACTAATAGCAATCTGAAATGTTTTTGCGAAAATTTGAACGTTAACGAAAAAACTACACGTATATGAGTATATTTGTGTATAAAATTAAAATGATTTTAAAATACAGTTCAATGAAATGACATCATCTAATTGTTGGTAAGGATGATTATCCAAATTTTGGGTAGCATTTAAGCATCTACATGATATTTCTAATATACATACAAAATTTGACAACAATCGGTCCAAAAGTTTCAGAGATTACTTGTCTAATAAAAATGGAGACAGACACCACACAGACAGACAGACGGACGGAAACGATAGACCACTTTGTTTGTACTGTAGAGGTCATGACAGGTCGAGAAAATATGAAAGTAGCAATTCGGCTGATGGATTCGATTATAATATTTCCTCGGGAAGTAAAAATTGGTCGAAGGTTATTTCGACAGAACTTCCCTAGCGCCTGAAGTAAATAAAACAAACCCAACTTTTTAGAAAAATTATAAAACTTGATTATACAAATTTTATTGTTGTATGAAAATCTTTGTAAGTTAAAATAAAGATATGTGATGTAACGTTAAAATTGTGATGACGTCAACAACATTTTTGGAAAAACAGTGTATCACTTTGGATAGGAGCAGTTACTAATGACAACAGTATTGTATCTCCAAATTTATTAATTTTTATGGGTCAACCTATATAAGAAATTTAAAAACTTTTAATGGAACGATAAACCACAATCTTGGATACGAGTTATTAAGCAAAATTTTGAGATGACGTCATCAGTCTATTGAAGGGGATAAACATACAGGGTGTCCCAGAATTCGCGCCATTCCCGTGAATGACATGTTCCCTGTCCCGAACTGTGCCGTAATTCGCAAAAAGAATTGTCCAGGCTTTAACCGTGTGAGAACTGGAAGGCGATTAAGTTGACCAATAGAGAGGCTGCTTTTATATCCGAACGTTTCTATGTTCAAAGTTACCTATGCCAAGAACAAAAAATCGGGTAATACTAAAGTTGAATGAATTTTTTTCGAATCCCCCTCCGTCAACAAAAGGAAACAGAAGTGTGGTTATAAATTTAATCATTTTGACAATTGTTTGTCATAAACTGTCACGAAGTTCATCACTGACCTGAACAGACGCTTCTGCCCCCAAAGATGACTGATTAATGTACACAGAGACGTCAAGGTTTACTTTAAGGCAAGTAGCATGGCACAGAAGTTATTTCTGCTGCCATTCTAGTTAAATTGTGTTTAACTGGGCTGTACATGTCATAAGAGAAGCTGTTTCATTTCATCGTAGGCAAATAATACATTTATTACTATTCTACATAGAGTAGCTACCGAAGAGCAGGTATTAGAAGTGATTTTCTTAGAGCCCCGTGAATAATGTGTTGTTCTTTTTAACGAAAATTAGTACATTTTCAGAATGCATCATATGCCTGATATTAAGTTTATCGTTATTTCTAAAAAAGAGTACCACATGTCCATTCAAAGAACGTTATTAAGTGTATTTAAACATAAATATCGCTTTTGATTAATCAGTGATTATGATTTTCAATAAACAGTATCAATTTTTACTGAACAGCTTTGTTGCTGATACCTAATCTAAGCAACGAAAAAATAGACGAGACTCCACTTCTCTGGTGTATTAAGATCATAGGTATCTGCTGTGGTGTCAATCATGTGGGGGAGATACTGAAAACTGAGACTTATTCAAGAATAATATTGATGTTGCACATGATGATTTAAGACAGTTTCTTTAAAGTTGTGAGTACATACTTTCTAGAGATTGAAAAGATACGAATAAAAATTATAACAATAGTTGCAATTTTTTTTAAGAACAATACAAACAATTTATGGAGAATGTACACGCTATGCAGCCACTGCTGTGCGCGAATATACAGGTCTTTTCCCCAATCATCGGCTCCTTGACCAGCATGTGTTTCGTCGTTTGTTGCATCCAGCAAAAGAAGATGGATCTTTTCAGCCTATGCGGAAAGCCGTGCTGGGGCTCCACGGATTATACGCATAGACGGTGAAGAACAAGTGGCACAAATGATTGGATGCTCAAGATCGATCATGCATCGTATCCTTACAGAGAAAAATCTGCATCCTTACTATTGACGAAAGTGCAGCATCTGCGACGAGCCGACTGCGCGACGAGTGCATGTTGCTATATGGTTACTGCGACAAAATGAACTAAATCCTGATTTTTCACGGCACATTCTTTTCGCCGACGAATGTTGATTTTCCCGAAAAGGAATATTTAATGCGCACAATTCACTTCTGGGCAAACGAAAATCCACATTTCGCTAACGTGAGAGCATATCAAGAGCAATACTATTAATCTATGGGCTGGAATCGTTGTACTGTAACGTTATTAAACAATGTGCTCAAAATGACCACCATTAACTTCAATGCAAGTTCTAGCTCGTTGAATTATGTTGTGTTGTGTATTATGTAACATCTCAGGAGTAACTGTAGCGTAGGCTTCGTGCAGTCTCTCTTCCAGTTCTTCTAACATATCTAGGGGTTCTCTATATACGTAATTTTTAATTTGATTCCAAAAAAAAGTCCAAAGCAGAAAGGTCTAGAGATCTAGGAGGCCAGATATTAGTACTGCCACGCCCAATCCACCTATGACGATACTCTTTTCAATGTTCGTCGTACAAGTATCGAATTATGTGGAGGAGCGCCGTCGTGCTGAAACCACATATTCCGCCGTACATTCAAAGGAACGTCTTCCAACAATGCCGGAAGCTCTAGTCGTAGAAAATTAGCATATGCATC